ATTTTCGCGGTTTTTGATGTCATCTCCCGCATTCCGACCTCATGCGGTCTGTCGACGCTCAGGGCGGAACCCTCAGTATTCGCCGTCTACTAGTAGTTTGGTCGTACCTCCCTTCCCCACTGCTCGGCTGAGCTCGAAGCGTGCTGTGGCCGATCGCATCTGGGTTCCTCTCGTCTGGCCTCTTTGACGCGAATAGTCTCATGCGGCGTATCAATCCGCCATCTACAGGCCAATCTTGACCGCATTTTTCTGTCATTGTTTTTATTGAGGGGCTTTTTCTCCTGTAAAATTAATCCAATCATTTTTAAATCTTTGTATGGAGTTTTTCTTTCACCCCTCACAAATCATTTTTCTTTATGGACTACTAATTCAGAAACTCTGAATTGCACTTTGTAAAAATTCTGCCTACCTCGTCTAAAATTCGCATGCAAATTTATTTTTACTTCGTTTGATGGGACCCCGACGGGTCTTTAATAAAAAAAACTATCAATTATTATCACTATAAGGACAAGAATTTTGGCAGTTGAACGAACCCATGCTCTCTCCCTGGAGTATAAATCTGCCTGGGTAAAGATAAAGAAGAGTAATGCACAAACCTAGGATTCCTGATGGCTTACATATTACCAACCCTTCCGAATGCAGCTGATGAGTCGCTCCTTCATTTAGTCATAGAAGTAGCTAGCCACCAAGAGATCGATATCGCTCCGGATCTCAACGCACCTTAAATAGAGTGAAGAACTATGGTAGTCAACGGTAGGCCAACTTCCTTCTGCAATAAGCAAATGGACCTTACACTCAACCTATCTTTGGCGCAAAATGTGAAGGTACCAACGAGATTTACAGAGGACCAGAGTGCGAATTTCATGTGCCTAGTTCTCACTTAAGACTTCTCCAATATTGACAAAGTGTACTCCAGTGTAGCTCTCGGAAAGAGGGACCATACTACACTACTATGGAATTGTTCCCTCTTCTCTCTGTGCCAGAGAAGAACAGAAGGTCAACCTAATATATTGAAGGCGCATTTTAACACGATAAGGAACCAATTGATGTCTGTAAATTAGGGCTGCTTTCTCAGGGTAGATCCGGAGGACGAGTGGAGACAATTTTACTCGATCTAATTCTACGCTGTTGTCGACCTAAGCTACAATGAACGATTAGTCGACCTGCCCGTTTAACTATGCACCTGAATAGACAGTTACGAAAGAAAAGCAAAAGATGGAAGATATTCAGGGAAAGTGGGTCAGCCGTGTACCTTAAAGAATTTCGTTGTCAACGAAATGCAGTCAAGAAATGCATCCATCAGACACGGTCAGATTATGGATCCAGAATTATCCGACAGGCTGAACAGAAGCACAAAATTTTAATTCACAACATTAACAGCAGACTGAAAACGAGGACCCGGTCTCAGTACTGAAGGATGGTTATGGTGTAGAAGTTGATGAAAACAGCGAGAAAGCCAAACACTTAAGACGGTATTTTCTCCGGTTTTCATTAGGGAAACAGATTTTTGTAGTCGCAGTGCCAGCAATCTTGTTGAGATTACTGGTCGCGTGCTTGGCTTCATACTCTTTTCGACATCTGTCGTGGAAAGTGACCTACAAGATCTCAGAGAAACAACGTCCCCCGAGCCGGACAATATACCGGCCAACTTCTGGAAAGAACTGGTGAACGAACTCTCCGAGGAACTAGCGCACATCTTCCGTTCGTCATACAGATTAGGGAGGTTGGCATCGGCGTGGAAGAGAGCAAATATCTTTGAGATATACAAGGATGAGACTCACACTAATGCTAGCAATTACGGGCCCGTTAGTCTCACCTGCATCTGCTATGAAATAATGGAAGCCATGGTTAAGAAAGCAACAATGGATTTCCTGCAGCAGAACCACTCACTCTAAGGGCTGCAGCAGAGCTTCAGGCAGAACCTTTCGTAATTTCACAGTTTATTGCACTCGACTGAGCATTGGACACATGCACTGGATATGGATAGTATGGTCGATGTTATTTACACGGACTTTAAGAAGGCGTTCGACAGCGTCCCACACACTCGTCAGAATTTCACTCTGGCCCTGTGTTTTCGAACCTTCAGCCCGCAGATCTTGATTTCAGCTCCTCATTTCGATCCCAAATGAATTTTGACGTTTACGGCGTAAATCCTCCGCTTTCGCCATTTACTAGTAGCTTGGTCAGTCAGCAATTACATCTCTGGATCGCATTCTCCTTTCTCTACTTTAATGACCGCCCTAAAGCTTAATGTCCCTTCTTCAACTGGATTTTAAGCGGACTGTGTCCGATCGCGTCAAAGTTATCTCGTCTTACCACTTCGAGGCAGATAAGCTCATCCGGTTAAGGAAACTCCGTCTTGACGATTGGCGTTTTGAATCCCTAATACAATACCACATGCAGGCCAGTCCTGTTCGACCCGCATAGTTTCCCTTTCATGAGCGTCAGTTTTTTTCTCCCTAAAAGTTAACCAATTCACACTCATTTTTCCTCTTTCATATAGTTTTTTTACTGCTCGCTGACCGTTTTTATATGTGACTGTTTATTCTACAACCGTGCACTGAATAATATACTGAATCTGGCTACTTGTTCGAAAATTTACTTGAAAATTTATTTCTGCTTGCTATGACGAGAGCCCCAAGGATCTTAAAAAATAATTTACTTATTTATTTATGTAATGTATGATGTCTCCAAATGCGTGGTCCTGCACCTAAACACCGACCGAAATGACTCTCCCATGCATCAGTACTGTATCAAGGGGACGGCATTAGAAACGTTAAAAAGACAGAGATCCGGGTATATAGACGATCACAAATCTTGTGCCATCAGAGCACTGTAGAAAGATGGTCCAGAAGACAACTAGTACTTTACACTGGACCAGACGTGCATTTAAAATATTCCCTCCCAAACTCTTCGAAAGACTTACCGGCGTCTTTGTAAGACCCCATCAGGAGTATGGAATGCCAGAAGCTTCACCATGGATGAAGAGGGATTCTGGTCCACTCGAACAAGTGCAACGCGGAGCAACGAAGATGGTCGACGGTCTAAAGCATTTGGTGTACCAGGTGGGGCTGAATGTGCTTGGCTTATTCTCCCTTTCCTATAGGCAATTAGACTGCTGTCGAGAGCGAACGCACGCGGCTAAACCGTAGGAAGTTTTCATTCAGCCAGCGGGTTGTCCGACCATGAAACTCACTACCAAGTGGGAGGGTGACGGCCCGTGGGATCCGGACCGGGTGGGACGACACGTCCAGGCGCGGCTCCGGCCGCGCCAGCTCAATTTCGTTGTTGGTTAAAATCCTGATTATTTGCTTGAGGACCAGGGATTGCGGGATGGAGCGCCAAGGTGCGGTCTCGACCATGCCGTCCATCTGCGTCCCCGTCCTCCATCTTCTTGACTCTGTCCAGGCTGAGGAAAAGAAATTACGGCAGGTGCTGCGCAAGTCTACCATATTTTAAACCAACGCACGCACAAGTCACCGTTCCAAACCCACCTTGCTGTGTAGAACACGGTGGACATCGTCGGCAACGGCGGTCAAATTGTCGTGTGAGCGTTTTACGCGTGCCACACGTCCGTGTCAGCATGAGACAATGTCTAGCTAAGCGGTGGACAAGTGCTTAGTTGGTCTAGGGCCGGAGTCGGGGTGCATGTAACAAGGGCTCATATGGGTAACAAACTAGGCCGTCCGACGCGGACGAGGTGGCGAAAACTTGTGTGAGTAACCGTGTCTCATTGCAGCTGAGCAATAGGAGTTCCAACTCAGGTCTTGAATGGTACCGTGCGTCAGGGATGTGCCAGTAGGTTAGCGTGATTGTCATAGTCATGGACTAACGGGGAGGCGCTATACTAGCTGGCGCCGGCGTGGCTGCCGCAAATTAAACACTTCACTGAGATTACCTCCTGTCATATCCAAGCCTTCGCCATGCGTTTCTCTGACCATTAGTGCTGTTAAAAGACTATGAGTGGTGTCACATCATCGATATTTACCTGGTATTCTCTTGTAGTGGCTGACCGGTCTTCAAGACAGAAACAACTCAACTTGGAATGTTGGCACGCCGATTCGAGCCCCGAAATCCCATCGGGTGTATGACGTTCATATTATTTATAGTGATGTCATCGGCTATCAACATGTTCAGCAAGCATGAATAAACCTCAAATAAGACTTTGATGGGCCTTCGGTTGCAGAGCGCCTAGCCGTACTCCAAAACTCCGCAAAGGAATGCCGTACTTGTTAGTTGTAATCATGCCGGTGACGTCCCACTCTCATGAGTCTCGGGAATGCACTTCGCACACGATTGAACACAGTCGTTCTTGAATACTTCATTAGAACAGAAGAAATAAATTCAGCTGCATACTCTTTAGCTACGAGTATAAAGTAAATAAGATCTAAGTGGTTCCGTAGTCTCAGTGCACGGACCACAGCTTCTGAACCCCATCCTTATAATGTCCTTCTCAAATTTCAGACCGCGCCTGAAAATGTCTGTTCTGAAAGCTTTACTCCAAGTTCGAGCACTAATTTTGACGGAAATTAAACAAGACAAGAATTCGCATAAATGTGACATAAAAGTAAAAACATCGGTAACGTTAACTAATTGCTTAAGAAGTAGTTGATGTGAAATACACATTTATATACACATTTATACATGTTCGTTGTTTCATTTTAAGTGGTTCGTAAGTATCCACTTGGAAGCAAACGAAGAAGCACCCCTTTTGCGTTATTGATTTGGTCTGTAATCTTCAGCTGTATTTTGTTTTCTGCATCTCCCGTTTCATCGTTGTGAAATCTTGCATAGATGTGCCTGCTACTTAGAGGTCTGCGATATCGGACTGGCACATGATCAAAATCTGCAGCACCCGGTGCTTCTGAACAACTTAGAGTGGATAGACAGACAACAGGTTAACAGGAAACACCCTCAACGTATAAGCCCGGGGCACATATTGTTTAAATGACCGGTCTCCATCCCACCGCTACTTTTGACCCGACTCACGCACGGAAAATATGCAGTTGATTGTCCGGTCGTTGGATACGCGTGTCGTAGACACTAATGTTTGCCAGTCGGCAGCAGATCTTAAAGTGCTTCTGTCCTCCGAAGACAAGCTTCCGCTCGAAGATATTCAGCTCTACCACGGGAATACTATTTTGGACAATGCTCAACGTCTGAGCGAACTCCTGGGCGATGCAGCTGTAGACGTTATTGTCCCTACCCTCGGAGGTTAGTTTCTTATGCCATTTTAGTTTCCTGCTTAAGGCAAGGTCCACGGGTCTCTCTCCCGTGCCGGCAAAGTGCGAGGACAGACTCCAAAGGTAGAGAAGCAAGATAAGAAAAAGAAGCCCCGTGGTCGCGCCAAACGACGTATGCAATTTAACCGCCGCTTTGCAATCGTCGCCATCCCTGGAGCCCGCCGGCGTGGTCCTAATTCAAATGTTAAGGCTTAAGAATGCTTAAATAAATTTCAAAATAGGGTTTGTCAACCTTTTTTTCAAAGATGCGCGCCTCGCTAGTTAGGCCTCCTGGCAGCTCGTACTGGTTGTCACAGTGCTCTCATGTTTTTAAGTTTTCATCTCATAATCTCTTATCACCACGATTTTGGATACCCAACCCAGTTTTTATACCTCAGCGGAGGCGCTTGTCACATGCCAATGTCTGTCTCGACTTCCACTGGGCGACGCTGCGTCCTTTAGATCATTCCACTGACAACCACTTCCTCCAATTATTCGTATCTGGCCTAAATAACACCAGTCCGAATGCTGTTGACGGGTGTGTGATATGCTCCCTGAAGGCATGTGAGCCCTCGCGCCTAAATCCGGCGTGGCGGCTTACGACGCTGGATGCCGCGCCTAAGTACGTCTCTCCACAGTTTATGCCGTATATTCTGCCTGACGGTCTTCCATCTCGCGACTGTGTGACTTTACCCGTTTAAAGTTCCCTGTGATTAGCACAATATTGGTGCGCTCTCTTCCTGAGTGCTGTTGCAATTCTGTTCTTTGTAGTATCGCGTCCAGTTTCGGGTCAAATAAACTTGACGAGTACAGTTCAACTATCGCAAGTCAGACTTCGATCAGGGGGTACTAGGTCCTCTGAAGCGTCGCCTAGTACCTTGGGTGATTTATTTCATATTCTGTCACGATTGGTTTATCGCTGACATGTTTTAATTCTACCAAGTTCCCATATAATTGTACTGGCCCGACGAGAATTTATCTAGAGCTACGTATGCTCGCTACCTCGTCGTTTGATTTGGTTTATTCGTTAAGTTTGTTCGGACGCGTCTTCGTCTAACCAAAATGCGGCATTTTTAGGTCTCCGTCTACGAAGTCGCCTTTATTCTATTTCAGTATCACTAAAATCCACTTCGGATAAGTGTATAAACCGCTTTCACAATTATATATTTACCTTCAAGCCGTACGTTCAATTCCATTTAAGTTGCTAACGCCTCAGATTTTGACCGCTCATTCGAGTGACAGCATGATATCAGGGTCAACCTAACCGTTTACAAGTTAGCTGGGCGAATTTTCAATCCAGCACATGGGTCCCTCATGTGCATGCGAGTTAGGCCCCCTTTTTGTCAAGCATTTACCTATCTCGGAACGCGAGGAGGCTTACTTAAAACGTAGGTTTTTTGTCAAGGAAATTGTTAGTGATTGATCGAATTTTCGCCGACCGGGTTACCTATGGAGCGACGCAATAGTCAGAGGCTCACCCGAATAGACAAACATAACTTGGAATTGCATTGTCCCTGCTGTAGTATCACGACCCTCCATACGAGGTCTTTCGCAGCCAGGGGACCTAAATTCGGATTCAGCTATGCTTGTGACGGGGTTTAGCAAATCAGAATAGATAGGTTTAGCCGATAACTCGTGTTCTATTGTAAAGCCAACCTGGTTTAGGTAGTCGACAGAAACGCCGACAACTTCATTTATACAGTTGTTTTTAGGAAACCATGCCTAGCGGTATGCCGTTGGATACGTTTATGTTAGGGCTTGACTCTCCTCGCGGCCGTTCTGTCTGTGCTAGATAACATCCATGCCGACATTGATTGAGCACTTTGGGATTGAAGGCCATTAAGGATTTGCCTTGCTCGTTTGCCAACTCGTGTTTTTGGATACATCTGCTTAAATGCTCGTGCGTCTTTTTTGGTACCCTTAAAAATTATTGTAATGCGGACTGTCAATTCGGCACCGCTTAAGGATGTTTTAACTTATTCTGCAATTGCTCTCACACCATAGGCCCCAATTGGACGTCTATTTTGCACCCATAGAACTCTCGAGAAAATCTGAAGTGGCATGTCTAAGGGGATGTAGGATAAGGAGCAATGTTATGCGAGTCTTTTGAAATGTCTACTTGCGAGACCTAATTGTAGCTCCATGCTGCTAGTTTACTTCATGACGGACGATACCTTAACACTGCGGTTTATCCACTGCCAACTGCCGGACAAAATTGACCCCATTGCCTCTGGATACGTAAAGGCCGAAAACGCGCCCGATGTCGGCTTTTTCTGCATCCGTCTACGTTTCAATTTGAGCACCTCGGCCAATTCATTTCAATCGGTAAGCGCAGTCACTTGTCTGGGTACGGGAGCACGAAGGTACTGTGATCTGTGAGCTCTGAGAAGTTCAGGATTCGTGCTGTTTCCACCGAGTCATCGGCAAGTCGGTTACGGAAGGTTACTAATTACTCTTAGTGTGAACAGGATTCATAACAGACTACTAGGCTCCTAATGTGGATTGTTGACAACTAAAATACGCCTTTGACGTTGCTTTGTCTACGATGCACATGTCAGTGATGCTATGTGGACTCAGCAGCCTTCCCATCCCCAGTCGTCGCTGTTGCGGATTGTTATAAGCGATAGCCATGGCAGCGCTCTGCCACCACAGCAAGTTTAAACCCTCGCGGATGTCAGAAGACTACGGGTGGCCGGCCGTTTGTCTTTATCGACTCGTCTACCTTGCAGGCGGTCAAATATAGTAAGGAAACTGGTAGGGCCCTCGCACTCGATCTGCATGCGGCATAATCTATCGCCTCTGGAAGTACTTGCCGTTTAGTCACGTGATTCAGCAGAGTATAAGCCTCCGATCGCAGCGGTTACCACCGAAGTCCGCCCGCATGCACTTGGATTACGCCAATTCGAGGCCTTTGATATATGGTGCCTCCGGAAAATACTACTGTGTTGGCGGTCGGACCATATCGCCTGGACACCGGTCAGGAGACGCTTGTTAATGGCGCAATTTACGGTTTCCGTATCAGCTAGTTGCCCATTAATGCGGATTAGCCGTTCAATTAGGTGTGGCCTATGTGGCAATTAAAATAATTGGCGACTGTGATCTAGTCACCCGCAAACGATGGTGGGCCTCATAGACTTCGGCGTTCGGCATAGACGGTTCGAAGGATAGGTATAGCCCGAGACTTAAGCAAACGTTAAAGACAGAATAGGCGATCCGCACAGGACAGCGGGTCCCCAAACTCGGGGGTTACAGTCACTGCATTGACTGGAGCCTGGAGATCCACTCAAGTGAGGTCCGGTAATTTTTGCAACTACATTTTGCATCCTAGCGATCCACTGATTAGCACTCTTGCTAGCCTCACTACTAGAAGTAATATTGTTGGTATTGACTCCCTGTCAGTTTTTATGGGCGTCTAGCTTTCTATTTATTGACGGAAATGAGGGCTCGGCCTTCATAAAATTGGATTTATCGTCTAGATCTGTAAAGTTACTGCGTTCTTGGGCTGTAAGCGAAGTTCGAACCATTCTAGTGGAAAGGTGGGTTCAAGCGGTCCTACCGAACACCTTCACATCTACCGCTGCGCATGATATAATTTCGGGGCCCAGACCTCATTTTAACTCACTGGATTCGTAACATGACTTTCGCACCATGTCCGGAAATATTGTCAGATAAATAAGTCGTACATTTAAAATGCCCGAATCTTAAATTTTTTTATTTGCTTTCAAGTCCAAGTTCTGACGCTACTTTGATTTCATACAGTGATTGTCTTCGTTAGTGGCATAATGGTTATGCGCCACTTTGTGGGATGGCGGTTTTGGGCATTTATCTCGCAATTCCCACCGTACAATTAGTGCGAAGTCGAGAATGACGTTCTTAACTGGCAAAAACAAAGAAACCCCAGTCTAGACTTTGAAGTCAACTAGCATTCCGCGTAAATGCATATAGTGACGGTAGCTTGGTAAAGAGGAGTAAGTCGGCCAGACTCGAGGGGCCCACCTCAGCTCTTGATGCTCATCTGGGTTCTGCGAAGCAGTTCATCTGGAAGGTGGTTAAAATGTGACAAAATAGTCATGTACTCCAGATTTATAGACTTCAGTGACAAAGTTGATCTCTGCAGTGTAGTTCAGGATGTGAGTGCTAGTGCTTAGTATCCGGGTTCAGTGCTCGTAGCTTTTTCCCGATTTGGTCCGTGCTACGGGCGTCGCGCTAAGGTATTTAGATTGCATTACTGCGACAAAACCTGTAGACATGTCCGACCACTCGCCAGGTCCTTACGGCGATTTTAATAAGCTAGATTGGCTTTGATATAGTTCGCAGGCCGGTCGGTAACGGGACATTTTTATATTCCAGCCTACTGGGTATTATGACTTCACAAGCCAAAAACACCCAAGACTGGGTCGAATCACAGACCCAAATCCTGGTCGAGTGGCATTCGCTCTCCTTTTTGACATGCTGGTCGGGCCCACCGTGGCTGAGCCAGTTTTGGGTGGTAATCCAGACCTCTCGTTAGCAGGTGTCAGCTTGCCAATTTAGATTCGGCTTGTTATAGTCGTTTACCCAACGGAGTAGTAATGACCCTTTGAAGTTCCGCACAACAGTAGGTATACCAATGAGGCAGCGGGATAGGAGCCCCTCCCCGGTAGTTCAGGTGGTGTTGCGCGGAACTCGGGGCAGCGCAAATGTTCCTGTATTTTAACACTGACCCAAACCTTCACCCCAAAACTAACCATAATCTCCTTGGAACTCAGCAAAAGACGCCGAGATTAGGTGGGCGGAGGGGGCGGTTTCTATTCCCATCTCGCCAACATGGCAGACTAAACACGAAGAAAGTTCCCTGGCTTTGTGAACTTAATACAGACTTAGACCTGAAACGCCAGAAAGGCCATTGCTGTTGCTGCTGACTACGGTCAAGATAGGCGTGCATAAATGTCTCTTTAGAGTAAAGGTCGACAACAGAGTGGGAAACGAATGAGCTACTGTCGTCTTCCTTTCTGACACTGTAGTTGGGACAACGGGAAAATTGGGAAGACGGAGGTCTTTTCGTTCTTTCATCCGGTGCATGCACCCATGGGTTGCCGGTAGTAAAACGGCCTCCGGCGTGTGCCAACTGCGAAATAAGCAGATCCTCGGTTCTGACGAGTAAGCAGCTGTGAATTGTGCAGCGGCACTCGAAGGCGTCTGCCCGAGGGGTCGGTTACCCATAAAAAGGTAAAAGG